CTACAACCTCCACCTCCCAGGTTCAAGTGTTTCTCCTGCCCCAGCCTCCCAATTAGCTGGGATTATAGGCATGAGCCACCACACCTGGCTAATTTTTGTATTTTTAGTAGAGACGGGGTTTTGCCATGTTGGCCAGGGTGGTCTTTAACTCCTGACCTCAAGCAATCCGCCTGCCTCGGCCTCCCAAAGTGCTGGGATTATAGGCGTGAACCACTGCGCCCAGCCTCAGTCATTTCTGCACCCAGGGTCCCCTCGAGCATCACACCACTCTCCAGAGACTCACGCAGACACATGCATCTGGATGTGCCAACACCCGGAGACTCAGTCATACCAACCTGGAGATCTGAAGTCACAGTTGTAGCAACAGTCAGAGATGTATGCAGAGCATCTCCCAACACCCACGATCTCAGTCATCCTAACACATGGCGTCTCACAGAGTTACACTAACACCTAGGGAGACACACAGTCAGCCATGCCAACACCCTGCAGCTCGCAGATGGCACCACTCCCACACCCACAGGCTCACACAAGCCACGTACGTAGTTACTAACGGGCCTCCCAGATGCAGTGGACCCAGCACCAAGGACACACTAAGACACCTGGGTGCTCGCCTGCACTCTTTCATCCTGAGTCCTGCCCCAGCCCCGAGGAGTTTCCCCGGGTGGGTGGGTGGGTAGACTGCTGGGCCCTGGTGTCCCTCTGCCTGCCTGCCTGCTGGCCCCCAGCTCCCCCTCCCCGTGCCTCAGGGGCAATGCCCAGGCTGGGCTGAGGATGAAGCCTCCCAGGCAGACCGAGGTGACCATGCGTGATGACTCTCTCCCACCTGTGACCTGTAGATGGCCCCCAGTCCCCCGGTGCGGGCGGCCCCACCTGCTCGGCCACCAACCTGAGCCGTGTGGCGGGCCTGGAGAAGCAGTTGGCCATTGAGCTGAAGGTGAAGCAGGGGGCGGAGAACATGATCCAGACCTATAGCAATGGCAGCACCAAGGTGAGGCAGCACACGCACACACGCCGTGTGCACACACCACACCTGCACACGTACAGTCCGCCCACATGTGCACACCCACCCGCATGTGTACACATCTGTCCCCGTGTGCACACGCCCATCGAGTGTGCACCCACACCTGTGCATGCACACCCCACACGTGCACACTCACCCGCATGTGCACACACCTGTCTGCATGTGCACACACCCACTCGAGTGTGCACCCATGCCTGTACGTGCACACACTGGCATGTACCCCCACATCTGTACATGCACACACCTACCTGCATGCATGCACGCTCAGCCACATGTACACACACATATACACCCACCACATGTGCACACACCTGCATGTGTACACACCCTTGAACGTGCACACACAGCTGCACGTGCATGCACACTTGCACACACCCACATGTGCATATACCAGCATGTGTACATACACCCCCATGTGCACACACACCTGCCTGTGCACCCACATCTGCATACGCATTTGCAGTGCACACGCACAGGTACCCACCCACATGTACACACTCACCCACCCGTGTATCTGCACACACACTGCACATGTATACAGCTGTATACATGCACAGGTGTGAGCAGATCACAGGCTGGGGGCATAGGGTGTAGCCTACAGCTGTCCCCATGGGAGGCTGGGAGCCTTTGGATTGGGGACACACTGGCTGATGGGTGTAACCTGGTGTCAGGACTAAGGCACAGGCAGCTCATGCGGGCATATGGGAAGCGTGACTATGGGCGATGTCAGACAGACATGTGGCAGATTGTCTTCCCTCCTCCCATGGTCTCCTGCAGAGCCTCAGGCCCACCCACAGTCAGGGCAACATGCAGCCTCTCACTGCTGATGGTGTCTTCTGTTACAAGCACACACAATCATGTCAATACCTTGACACACACACACCATCATAACATCTAGACACACACACACACATGCTGTCATAACATCTAGAGACGTATACACACATGCTGTCATAACATCTAGAGACACACACACACACATGCTGTCATAACATCTAGACACACATACACACACACATGCTGTCATAACATCTAGACACACACACACACACCATCATAACATCTAGACACACACACACACACACCATCATAACATCTAGACACACACACACCATCATAACATCTAGACACACACACACCATCATAACATCTAGACACACACACGCTGTCATAACATCTAGACACACACACACGCTGTCATAACATCTAGAGACACACACACACATGCTGTCATAACATCTAGAGACACACAGCGGTAACAACATCTAACAACACAGGGAGAATCCCACCACAGCCACATCTGGACACATACACACACCTACATTCATACCCAGAGACTGGTGCACATGGACGCACAGACACACACACATCCCCCATCCTGCCAGTCAGTCCCAGGAACACACAGGTCTCCATCAACACCCAGAAATTCTGACACCACAAGCACAGGCCGACCTACAGCTAGAGGATTAACGTCCAGACCCACAGGCTGGTGTGCGCCTGTCCTTCCACGTGAATGTCACATGGGAGGACAGACTGCATGGATTTTTTTAAATGACACTATTTTATTTATTTTTTTGAGACAGAGTCTCACTCTGTCACCCAGGATGGAGTGCAGTGGCGTGCTCTCGGCTCACTACAACCTCCGCCTCCTGGGTTCAAGCGATTCTCATGCCTCAGCATCCCAAGTACCTGGGATTACAGGCATGTGCCACCACACCCCACTAATTTTTGTATTTTTAGTAGAGATGGGGTTTTACTATATTGGCCAGGCGAGTCTCGAACTCCTGACCTCAGGTGATCTGCCCACCTCGGCCTCCCAAAGTGCTGGGATTACAGATGTGAGCCACCTTGCCTGGCCTAACATTATTTTATTTATTTAATTTATTTTTTATTTTTATTGAGATAGGGGTCTGTGTTGCCCAGGCTGGACTCGAACTCCTGGGCTTAAGCATTCCTCCTGCCTTGGCCTCCCAAAGTGCTGGGATTACGGACGTGAGCCACTGCGCCCCATTTATCAATTGATGGACATTTGGTTGTTTCCATGTTTTTAGCGATTGTGAATAGTTTTGCTATGAACACCCGTGTACAAGCATTTGAATACCATTCCATGAAAATTTAAAACCTAGAACAACTGTGTATCTTTTTACATGTATCTGAGCATTATACACAAAAAGAATAAGAGTTTCTCACCCCCTAAGAATTTCTGCCCCCTCGGGGGTGATACTGACCCGACGAAAATGAATAGAGTAGGCCAGGTGCGGGTCCCAGCACTTTGGGAGGCTGAGGTGGGCGGATCACTTGAAGTCAGCGAGGCCAACATGACGAAACCCCAACTCTACTAAAAAAATACAAAACTTAGCCAGGCGTGGTGGCACATGCCTGTAATCCCAGCTACTCGGGAGGCTGAGGCAGGAGAATTGCTTGAATTTGGGAGGCAGAGGTTGCAGTGAGCTGAGATCACGCCACTACACTCCAGCCTGGGTGACAGAACGAGACTTTGTCTCAAAAAAAAAAAAAAAAAAAAGCTGGGCGTGGTGGCGGGCACCTGTAATCCCAGCTACTCAGGAGGCTGAGGCAAAAGAATCATCTGAACCCAGCAGGTGGAGGCTGCAGTGAGCCGAGATTGTGCCACTGCACTCCAACCTGGGCAACAGAGCGAGACCCTGTCTCAACCAATCAATCAATCAATAAAACAAATTGCAGCCGAGAGAGGTTGAATGGCTTGCTGGAAGCCACACAGATGTTAAGTGACAGAGCCAGGATTCAAACCCCATTTACTACATCATCCCACTGTATCCAGGAATGCATGGAAGTGCATTCATTTACTTATTAATTTATTTTGAGACAGGGTCTCACTCTGTTTCCCAGGCTGGAGGGCAGTGATGCAATCTCAGCTCAGTGATGCCTTTAGCTCCTGGGTTTGAGTGATCTTCCTGCCTCAGCCCCCTGAGTAGCTGGGACCACAGGTGCACACCACCACACCCAGCTAATTTTTGCATTTTTTTTTTTGTGGAGACAAGGTCTTGCCATGTAGCCCAGGCTGGTCTTTAACTCCTGGGCTCAGCAGTCCACCCACCTTAGCCTCCCAAAGTGCTGGGATTACAGGCGTGAGCCACCGTGCCTGGCCTACAAATGCGTGTTGTTACATCCACATGTGAACACTGCCACAGTCACCTGGGACCTGCATGGTGTGGCCAGACCCCAACCACCCAGCCTTCCTCTCTCAGACTGTCTCTGCCTCCAGGACCGGAAGCTGCTGCTGACAGCCCAGCAGATGTTGCAGGACAGTAAGACCAAGATTGACATCATCCGCATGCAACTCCGCCGGGCGCTGCAGGCGGGCCAGCTGGAAAACCAGGCAGCCCCGGATGAGACCCAAGGTGAGTCCCTTGCTTCCAGACAGCTTAGCCCGCATCTCGCCTTGCAGGGCTCAGCCTCCAGCTCCATAATGAGTCCCTTTCTGGGGCAGGGAGGTGGATCCTGTGACCCAGTGTGAGACTTCAATACATTCCTGACCCTCTCTGGGCCAGAGCTTCCCATTTTGTCCCATGCAGAGTTTGGATTACATCAGGGGTTGGTAAATTACTACCTTCACACCAAATCTATCCATTGTCTTTTTTTTTTTTTTTTTTTTTTTGGTCAATCCATTGTCTTTTTTTGGTTTTTGTCAATAAAGTTTTATTGGTACCCAGCCACGCCCATTTATTTACTATGTTTTTGACTGCCTGACTATTCTGAATAATGACCCTGGCACTTGGTCACAGAGAGTCACACTCACAGTCACACTGTGTCCACATGTGTCACTCACCTGGACACCAGTAACACAGACACAGTTCCAAGGAAGTTGATAGGCACAGGGATGTTGCCTTATAAACACAGTCTCAGCTGGGTGGTGGCTCATGCCTGTAATCCCAACACTTTGGAAACCGAGGTGGGCGGATCATTTGAGATCAGGAGTTCGAGATCAGCGGCCAACATGATGAAACCCTGTCTCTACTAAAAATGCAAAAATCGGCTGGGCATGGTGGCATGCACCTGTAGTCCCAGCTACTCAGGAGGCTGAGGCAGGAGAATCACTTGAACCCGGGAGGCAGAGGTTGCAGTAAGCCGAGATCGCCCCACTGCACTCCAGCCTGGGCAACAGAGTGAGACTCTGTCTCAAAAACACACACACAAGAAAACACACAGTCTCACTGTCACCCCTAGACCTGCTGCCACAAGGCGCTTAATCAGTCACTGGGACTTTTAGGAATAAAGTCACCCATCCCTGCGACAATACCCAGAGACAAAGGAATGTGTGATCCTACCATCACACATAGTCACTGCGCAATCCATGTGGGTATCCACAGTGCAGGCACACAATCACGTGCACCATCGCACTGACACACACCCCAGGCCACACTTTTTTTTTTTTTTTTTT